GTGTGTGTGTGTGTGTGTGTGTGTGTGTGTGTGTGTGTGTTTTTTCCTGGTGTGAGAGATTGAGTTGAGGGCTGGGCACTTGGAGGGTTGAGGACCAGGTGTGTGGGTCAAAGACAGCAAGTGTGAGTCCCGAAGCCCTTTGTCCTCCCAGCCCTGTGGATGGAGCGTGTTCCCTGTCCCACTGTTGGCTCTGAGAGCTGGAGGACAGGACTGTATGGGGTCCAGGATCAAAGCCCACTGCGGGTGTTGGGAATTAACGTGGGCATGCAGACTGCAGGTGCATCTCTCCTTCCTGTTCTCTTTAGCCCCCCTCCATCAAAGAAAATGAAGCTGTTTGGATTTAAAGAAGATCCGTTTGTGTTTATTCCTGAGGATGACCCTCTGTTTCCCCCGATCCAGTAAGAATTTGTACATTGTTTCCAGTTTCTTCTTTAGCAGCTCTACTATAGAGAAGGAGCTTCATGCTCGTTCTCTGCAGCTGTTTTTCCTTCGCACTGCACATGGAACTCCTTCCGTTAGGAGTCCCAGAGCCACCTGTCCGTGACAGGATAAGAGGGAGCTGAAGATGGCAGAGTTTGAGCAGAGTGACTAACTCACATGGACCAGGCTGTGGTCCCAGGGCTGTTTAGATAGAGGGTGCAGGGTCCCCGGGCTGGGAGGGTGGAGAGAGTGCAGGATCCCAGGGCTGGGAGAATGGAGAGGGTGCAGGGTCCCGTGGCTGTACAGGATGGAGGGGTACAAGGTCCTGTGACTCTGTAGGATGGAGAGGATGTGGGGTCCTGTGATTTTTGTAGGATGTAGAGGGTGCCAGGTTCCATGGCTGTGTATAGGTGGACTTGGTGTTGAGGGGATCCTAGTGGGGTTTTCTGTGAACAGAACTAGAAGAGTCTCACACATCTTTCCTTCTTCACCACGCGTGCATACTTCATAGCACCGTCACTGATACAGTTCCGTAGTCAGACCTCCGAAGGAGTCTCAGGGATGGTGTGGGCACAAGGAGACATGGCACTTGCTGTAGGTGCTCCCTGTAAACACTGCTGAGGGTCTGGGTGAGGCTGGATGTCAGGAGGAGGTGGGCAGTCTTAAGGTGGGCGAGGGCCGGGGGCCTGGCCTGCATTGTGCCTCAGCTCAGCTTTGTTGACAGGAAGTTTTACGCTCTGGACTCTTCCTTCCCCAAGAAGAACCTGCTGACGCGGACGATGGAGGGGAAGAAGCGGCAGCTGTACATGGTGTCCAAGGAGCTGCGGGGCGTTCTGCTCAACAACAGCGAGAGGATGAAGGTGAGTGAGCGCTGGGCCGGGCGGCATGCAGGGTGGACAGCAGACCCCGACCCGCCTGTGCTCCCAGGGCAGGCTGCAGGGAACTGTAGACCTCAGCAAATGACCTTGCCTGACAGTGCTGGCATGGCACGCGTTGCCTGCACCG